CCAGCCTCCTCCCCCAGCGTGGAAACCCCCAGCCCTGTCCTGCTGGGAGTGCTCCAACCAGAAGCTCTGCTCACCTGTGCTCCTGCTCCCTGTCCAGGTGCCTGCGGCCGGCAGCACCTTGAACCAACAGGAACCATTGACTTGCGAGGCCCAGGACAGGCTGACTGTGCAGTGGCTATCGGGCGGCCCCTGGGTGAGGTGGTGACCCTCCAAGTCCTCAAGAGTTCCCTCAACTGCAGCGCTGGTACGTCCAGGGCCATGTGAGCCACTGCTGCCAGTGATGGGCCTGCAGGAGCCCGTGAGCATGATGCCAGCATGCCCCATTCCTGGCCTGGCAGGACGCCCCAGCTGCACGCCCCCTTGTAATCATCACAGCCATCTCATGACTGGGGCGTGACTGTCCCCCTTTTACAGATGAGGAAACTGATGCTAAGATAGAGTAAGGAATGTTTCCAGTTACTTAGAGTCACATAGCCAGTAAGTTGGAGGGTTGTGAACCAGACAGGCTCAGCTCAGCCTACCCCAGGGCCACTGTGCGGCCGACTTGGATCGGGGTGCTGGACCCTCACTGCACTACCACTTCCTAGGGGAGATGTTGCTGCTTTGGGGCAGGCTCACGTGGAGGAAGACGTGCAGGAAGCTGTCCGGCATGACTTTCAGCTCCAAAGCCAACACGCTGGTGGTGAGGCAGCGCCGGGAGCGGCCGGGAGGTGGAGGTGGAGTGGTGCTGCGGTATGCCAGCCGGCCTGCCCCCGGAGCCTTCCACAGAGGTATGCCAGCCGGCCTGCCCCCGGGCCTCCCACAGAGGTATGCTGAGGCACCGGGGCCTCCCCCATCTCTCCAGAGGCTGGCTGGGCAGGCGCTGCTGCCGGCAGGGCCAGTCCCGATGGGGCGGTGAGCAAGGCAGACAGGGAGCTGAGCCGACTGAGACAGAGGAAGCAGCGCCTTCCTGGACACCCTGCAGAGGCTGGTGTCAGTCACCAAGTGCAGTGACTGACTACGTACAGCATGAGGTCCCGGATGCATGCTGTGTCCCTTCCTCTGTGGGGAAGTGGGGACTCAGGCCACATATGCACCCCATCCCTCAGGCCACCACAGTCCCACCCTGGGATCTTTCAAGATCCTTTAGGGTCCTTTTGTGTGCCGCTGTCCCCCAGCCCTGTTCCCGTGCACTGTCCTCTTGTCTCGTCTCCTGCAGAGCTGGTGTGCGCATGCACGCTTGCACACGTGTGCATGCATAGACACACCTCATGCAGGTGATAGCATCCCAGGGACCCCTGCTTTGCCCACGGCCCCACTGTGTCCTTGGATAGCCCTCTAGGTTGCTTCAGGGAGCTTGCTGTCTCCCAATAGCCCAAACTGGCTGAAGGTGGCTTCCCCAGCCGGTTCCAGAGGTTTCTGGGTATCACTCCCCAGGCCTCAGCTGAGAAGTAGAACACTAGGGGGCTTCTCCCTCCACAGAGATTTGGCGCCACCTCCTCGTCCCTCACGCGGAGCTGTGCTGATGCCCTAGATCACAGGCGCCAAGTGGTCCAGGGGCTGCCTGTCTGCCTGCTTCCTTATCACCCCTCGCTTCCCAGCCTCCCCCCACGCAGGTGCCTGCCTCAGGGAGACCCAGGAGGTGCACTCAGTGGGCTCCTGATAATACTGGCTGCCACCATTGGGGCCCGTCCTTGTGTCAGGCTCAGTGTTAAGCACTTTTGCGTGTGTGACTTTATTGAGTCCTCCTGAAAACTGCCATGCTCAGTGTGTGCCACTGTCACCTTCACTTTACAGAGGAGGGAACTGAAACTCGGAGCATTTACGGCCTTCACCTAGGGCCATACAGCTGGGAGGTGGTAGAGGTGGCGTCAGTGGGGGTTTCTGCCTGGGAGCCCCGATCTTGACCGCAGTATCCTACTGCTCCCCGGCTATGAGCGGCCCTGGCCTCTGGGATTAGTAGTCTTTCAGGGACTGCTGTGTCCCTGAGGGGGTCCGCACCCAGTCCACCCGCCTGCTCTCTGCTGCAGAATGTGATGTGCAGCTCTTTGGACACCGGGGTGAAATCAAAAACCCATCGATGAGTCCAAATGGGAGGAACGTGGGGGGCTGCCGCATCTTCATCAACGTGGCTCCGCAGGCCCGGATAGCCATCCACGCCCTGGCCACCCACATGGGCACCGGAACTGAGGGAACCGATGCCAGCTACATCTTGGTGAGGCTACCACGATGGCGACAGGAATGGGCTAAGTTTTGCTATGATTTTGGAGAGCTGTTCCTGGGGACAGGGACCAGGGGTGCTGGGCTAGAGGACCTCGAGTTTTCTTCAGACCAAAGCTCCCTACAAGAGTGAAATAGAAAAGACCTTTTCTGATACGGACAGCCCGTTAACTTGGGACTGAAGCATAATTTTAGAGCCTCTATACCTTTGCCAGAAGAGGCGGCCAATCTCTTTCCCCATAAGGTTTCCGGTGTTCTGGGAGAACTGTTTTTCTGCAAGGTGCCAGCTCCTCTGGGGGAGGCAGCCTGGCTTCTGGAATTGGACAGACCTGGGCTCATATCCAAACTGTGTGTCCTTGGGAAGTGGTACAACCTCTCTGAGCCTCAGTTTCATGGGTGGGATAATAGTGTCTTTCTGATAGGGCTGTTGTGTGAGGAGTAAATGTGACCTGAGTGTATGGTGCCTTGTATATTAAGGGCTCCATGAATACTAGCTAATTATCATTTATGGATGGTCCTTCCGGGCTGCCCCTTTCTTCCCAGATCCGAGACATCCAGAGCCTGAGGATGACCACATTCCGAAGGCAGCAGGCGCTCTACTGGGAGTCAGAGGGCAGCCAGGCTGAGATAGAGTTTAGCCAGGGCTTCCTGGAAACACACGCCAGCCTGCGGGGCCAGTACTGGACGCTCCGGTCTAGAGCGCAGGAGCCGGGAAGGGGCCGGCCCTAGCTTCCTCTCCAAGCACATCCCTCAGTTGACCCACGCATGCACTGGGGTGCACTGCACGCCCGGCTCCAATCCTAGAAGGTTAAGGAAGGAACCTGACATTTATGGGTACCAGTAAGGTGCCTGCCCAGTCCCGGAGAGCTTTCCAATTTGAATTCCCCCCAATGTTAAGAATCACTTTTAGCTCCTCCTTCGACGTGCACAACGCTAGGGAGCGGGAGGGGGTACTCCCCGGAAAGGCAGCCCCCAGCACCTCCGGTACCGATAAACAGAACGTGCGGTCTGACTAGCGTTTTCTTTACATAACCTGTCAGAAACGGGCTTGAAAATGTGGGGACCCAGGCCCAGACCCTAGGCTAGGCAAGCTCATTGTGGAAAGTACCCCCGCCCAGAGGAATTAGAAAAAATTCATGCTTCAGCCAAGCTTAGCAGAATGTCCTGTTAACACTGTAGTTATAACTGACAGTCTCGTCCTGTCAAGATAGCAGGGTGCAGTTATAACTATGTTACAGCCTGTTAGATTAAGATAGAATAACCGTGTTTTTTTACTCACTAACCGCTTTTTTTGCTTCTGTATCCAGCTTCAGCTATAAATTCCCCACCAGCCAAGACTTGGAGGCCGTTCTCTTGCAGAGTGAGGCGGTCGGTCGCCAGGCTTGGCTAATTAATAAAGCCTTTGGAACGAAAACTCTGTCTCTAAGGTCTTTATTGACGAGCAAGGACCTAACAAAAACCCACCCCACGGCATGGCGGGGGTTTCCTGGTCGCGGTAGAGCTGCAGACCCGTTCCTGACTTGATCAATCCTCTCGCCACTCCTAGTGGTCTTCCTACCCAGGGAAGAGAGGCCACGGAGTGTGGAGTCACACTGGGCGCTGATCCCTGGCGTACCTGTTAATTCTCTGCGAAGTCCCGCCTCTATGCTAGTTCCACTGGGATAATTTGTCCACCTGGGAGTCCTGGCCGCCAGAATCCGCTCCCTGTGCTGGTGACGGGGGCCTGTTACGCGCACCTCGCAGCGGCCCCACAGCCCCGCCCCCATGCTATTAATAATAAGCTCGAGCCCCTCCCGCGCACCTCCCGGGGCCCCGCGAGCCTCGTCCCTATGCTAATAAGCGCGAGACCCTCCGGCGCACCTCACCACGGCCCCGCCCCCTATGCTAATGAGCTGCCGCCTCTCCCACAAGGCAGCGCGCCGGCCGACGCGGCCGGCTCAGGAGCTCTTTGTGAGGGCGGTCGGCTGAGCCAGACCAGCAGCACCATGAACGGCTCAGGCGGCGCGTCGGCGGCGTCCGTCAGCTCCGCGCCGCCCGCGCAGGAGGAGGGCATGACGTGGTGGTACCGCTGGCTGTGTCGCCTGTCGGGGGTGCTGGGGGCCTTCTGTGAGTACCCGGCCCGGGCGAGGCCGCCCGCCGCGCATGCGCACCCGGCCCCGCCCCTCCTGCGCGCCCCCGCGGAGAGGGACCAGAGTCGGGCCGGGGTCTGCGTGGCCCCCCGCTGGGGAGGAGGAGTGGCGGTGGCAGCGTGAGCGAGCGCCCTTGCGGTTGCCATGGTTACCGGTCGTCGGCCTCGGCTCCTGTGTTTCGGGGCTGGGCTGGCGGCTCTGGAGACTTTCCAGGAGAAAACCTGAGCCGGACTCGTCGCACTGCCCCTCCGCGCCTCTCTGGGAGTGAGGACGGTGCTGCACCCACTGCCGGGCTCTCTGAGGTTGTCCAGAGGCTGCTTACAAAGCGCCAGCTCAGCCTGGCTGGGAGGCAGCCCCACCTGTTGACTTAGGTGTGGGTGGGGGCTGCAGCGCCCTCACCTTTGGGCGAAGGTTGTTTATAAGTGGGGTGGATGCAGGTCTGGCTAGATTTCCTGGGAGCCAGGTGCTGCCAGGGGACAGATGGTTCCCCGGAGAGGCCCGGGTAGTGAGGCCCGGGTAGAGGCGGCCCCCTCTCTGGGTCCTCATTGTCCACTTGGAGGTCAGTGCGTTCCCTTTGCTATCAATTCTGCCGCAGCCACTTTTCATTTTCCTTCCTTCTCCCCCCCCAACCCCATACCGGACATATATCTTGACCTCCTTTCCAGGGAAGTCAGGCTATTTTTAGCACAACCCCCTCCCCTCCCCCCGTCCCCCCAAAGAACATACATAGGAAGGCAGATCTGCTACAGAAGTAAAATAAAGATCACATGGCAGGTCTTCCAAACGCAAATATAAGTCTGTTTGAATGGCCCACTGTCTTCTTCCTGCAGCCCTCAGCTTTGTGAAGTATGAGCGAGGGAGACAGCACAGCCGGAGGTCTCAGAACGGGAACTTCCAGGAAGTCCCCAGGATTTGAACAGAGCCTACGTGGCACAGCGGGCGGGGCCAGGCAGGGCGGACCCTGGTCAGGTCTGCCAGAAGGAACACGTTTTTGGGGTCTCCTTCCAGTCCCACTGCCCTCCCAGGTGGGCGGAGGTAGGAAGTTCAGGAGTGCAGCGTTAGGACGGTGCTACTGTCAGGGCATGCTCTTCTCCAGAGGTGACAGTGGGACAGGCCCTTCCCAAGTCACAAAAAGGCCTCCGAGTCCCTGTCACTGCTGTTCAGAGCAGGCGTGCTTTTGACTTTGTAGGAGAGACTGGTGGGCTCGAGATCAGGTTTCGATCTGATCCTCTCAAGTTCGGTTAGCTGCTTCCCTGGCAGGTCAGAGCGGTGGTGCTGTGGGGAGTAAGTGACAGTGGTCAGTAGGGGAGAAGCGAGAGGTCCTGACTGGCCTGTGGGCCCTCACCCTCCCTCCATCTTGGAGTCAGCAGCCCTGCTGACTCCCTGGTTCACCCTGGCAACCCATCCAGTTCTGTGCTTCTCAAAGTGGGGTACCTGGGCCACCCCAGGAGTTCATTGTGTTGGGGCTACAATGAAACTTCAGGAGAAACCTGTGGCATCGCCCTGAAATGTCAGTCTCACCTGCAGGTTTGGTGGGGGGAGGTGATTGTTACAGGGACACCAAATACAATTGACTTTTGAACGACACGGGTTTGAACTGCATGAGTCCACTTATATGCAGATGTTTTTCAATAAATATACAGTTGGCCCTCTTGTATCCCTGGGTTTTACATCTGCAGATTCAACCAACCACGGATTGAAAACAGTATCTCTAATCTCTAATCCATGGTTGAAAATCCACAGATGTGAGGACCAACTGTGTGCATCGTTCAACACCATTTAAATAAGGGACTCAAGCATCTGTGATTTTGGTATCCACGGGGTCCTGGAACCAATCCCCCGCAGATTCCAAGGGATGATTGTAAAGTTTTTGGGGAGTCAGAAGTTATACTCAGATTTTCGATTCGTGGGGGTCGGCTCGCCCAAGCCCTGCGCTGTTCGAGGGTCAACTGTAGTACATTGCAGGTAGAAGGCAAATCATGCAGTTGTTTCAGAGATGAAACCGGATTTCACATAAGAGTTGTGCTTCTGGTTGGGGGTGAGGTCGCTCTCTGCAGTGGGGGGCCTCGGAGAGGCCGTTATTCTGGGCCCTGACACCATCTGGAGGCAGTTGCTCAGGAAGAGGGGACCGCACAGGACACAGCGTGAGTCGGAGCTGGAGGCAAAATGCTGGCGGCAGCAGGAAGGCTGCTGTCAGGTGACACAGGCACAGCCAACAGAAGCAGCATTGTTTCGTGGGCACTTAGAGTCTGTGGCCCTGGGGAACCTTGCTGCCTAAATGTGTAGGTGACATGCTCAGGACAAGTACAGACTGCAGTGGCAGAAGCATGTCTGTCGTAAGAGACCTTGGGGGACACACGCAGGCGAGGGCAGTCCCACTGCAGCGTGGGCTCACTTCCCCTGGGTCTCTCCCCTGCCTGCTGTCTGCATAGGGTTACACGGGAAAACAGCAGGAGACTTCCAGGCCATGTCAGGGATCAGGTACACTGGACTGCTGCAAGTTTAATGAGCTGGTGGCTCCTTCCTGCCCTGCCCCCAGCTGTGGCCTGGGCTCGCTCCCTGGACCTGCCTGGCAGGCTCCCACCATCCTTGGTGAATCTGGGCTGCGGGTAGAGGAGAGAGGCGAGTGGGGCAGACCCTGCCCATGTGGTGCAGTTGGGAGGGGCGCACAGCCACTTTTAGGGGTGGAAGAGGATGCACCCCTCCCCATCATGGCTCCTTGGTAGTACAGAGGTGGGTAGGCTGGGCTGTGGGACCTGCCTGTGTGCAAGAGAGGAAACGTACCTGAAAGATGAAGAGAATATACCCAACCAAGGACACTCAGTTAACTGCTGTGTAAGTCACAGCTGGAATTGTGACCTGGGTCTGCCTGGTCCTAGTTTCTGGAGAGGCAGCCCTGGTCCCAGCCAAAATCCAAGCCACATTTTCCAAGTTATAAGACTTCTTATATGGCCAGCCCTGTGAAAGGGATGCCTGCCCTGGCCCCTTGAGAGACGTTTCTCTTTTTCACTGGAACCACCTTACCAGGTGGGTATTGGCACAAGTAGGGTTCTAAAGGTGGGCTCCTCCAAGCCCCAGAATGGGGAGGGTGAGATGCCCTCACAGCCTCACCAAGCTCTGAGAGCGAGCCAGCTCAGAGTCAGCTGCAGCCTGGCGCTGGGGCCTGGGGCAGGCTGCCTCACCTGTGGCGTGGAACAGCTATGTTGGCCTCACTTGTCTCAGACGGCAGAAGGGAGACCTCTAGGTGCTGTGAGAAGAGCCAGGCACTGGGTGTCGGAAGGACTTCTCACGCGTTCACAAACCCTCTCCCCAGGTGGCCTTCCCAGCAGGCTCTGAGCCTCCCTGTCTGCTAATTCCTGCCCATGTCCCTTGCTTTCAAGCTTGCGCCGTCTCCGGCCTCTTCAACTGCATCACCATTCATCCTCTGAACATCGCGGCTGGCGTGTGGATGATGTGAGTAGCCACCTGCCTGCCCTGACTGGCAGGGCTGGGGGCATGTGGATTTCTGGCCGCTGGGCAGACCTTCACCTCCTTACACCTACCACGTTCAGTCTCCCTAATCCTCCTTAGGGCCAGGGCTGGGGACGCCCACCCAGGCCTTTGCTGGTGTAGGGCTGAGGTCACAAACGTTTCCTGAGCGTCTACTGAGTCAGACTCTGCAGACAGCAAGTCCACCCCCAGGGGCCTCGCCTCTGGGAGCTCCCGAGGCCACCAGAGCCAGCCAAGGACTGAGTTGGAAGGGTGGTTTCTGACACGGTTGGAGTCAGGTGCTGGGGTCAGGAGATCCAGCTCGGAGGTGGGTGTGCAGTGCCAGCCGCAGACAGGGCAGATCAGAGGTGGCGCGGGATCAGGGGGTTAGAACATCCTAGGTGAGTTCCCTGCCTGCCTCCTGCCAGGGTAGCTTGATCCCGTTGGAAGGGAATGGAGGGGTGAGAACTGGCCAGTGCAGCTGTGGCTGCATCTGACCGCCCTGCAAGCCCCCCTCCACGCCCCCCCATGTGAGAAGTGGCTGTGCACCTGCACCAAGCATGGTCTGTGCCCACATGGGGCTTGGACTGGGAGGGGCACAGAGATGGACACAATGTGGTGCTACCCTCAGAGGACTCAGGCCAGTGGTGAGGCCTGGGCGCCTGCTGTGTGTGTGTGTGTGGGGGGGGCGGGGCACAGACCTGTGCTGGCCAGAGGCAGAGGCAGTAGGGACGGGACTGATGGGAGAGGCAGTGGACCCTTAGATGAGAAAGGGTTGGCCAAGCCCTGGGGAGGGTCAAGTTGGGAGGGCTGGCCCAAGTGGGAGAGGCTTGGGGTGGGGGCAGTGTTAGTGGTGCAGAGAGTTTCTGGTCTGGGGGGGTGCGGTGGGCTATTGGGGTGCCCTGAGCCTGCATTTCTGTCAAAAGAGGGTAACGAGGGAACTTTCCCCCAGGCCTCCCAGTGTCTGACCGTGACTGTGACCCAGCCACAGAAAACACAAAAAGTGGAGCAGACACCCTCAGTCCCCCGTGGCTTAGCTATCTCCAGCCTGGACACAGGGCGCTGCACAGAAGGGCTTGCCTAGTTCCCGCCCCCAAGTGTGGGCTTCCCGAGGGTGGGGCTTTGCCAGCCCTCGGCCACTGTTAGTGGACGGACTGACCTGCTCCAGGCTTTCCCGGGGGATGTGTTGCTGCTGGGGACAGCTTGCCCAGCTGACGGCGATGCTGGCTGGCCCGCATGGAGGTTCTTGCTGTGTGCATACAGCAGCGCCGTGACGCAGAGACCGGAAGGATGAGGGCAAGACCCAGCTTCTCCCCTCAGGAGGGTCCACTTCCGTTAGGGAGACACGTGCACCGGGGCAGCGGGCCGTGGTGACGTGTTCCGCACAGGCTCCGGGAGGGTGAACCGGAGGGCGCGGAGGGGGAGTGGGTGGCGCGGCCCGGTTTGTCAACGGCCGCTGTCCTCCCCCCGCCCCAGCGTGAACGCCTTCATCCTGCTGCTCTGCGAGGCGCCCTTCTGCTGCCAGTTCATTGAGTGTGCGAATACGGTGGCGGCGAAGGTGGACGCGCTGCGCTCCTGGCAGAAGGCTGTCTTCTACTGCGGGTGAGGGGCCGCGGGCAGGGCCGGGACGGGAGACGTGTGACCTCAGGGGCCCAGGCACGGTCCCCAAGCCCAGCGTGCTCAGTGACCCGAAGGGCAGTGGAGGCGCTGGCCGGGGCGATGGGCCAGGTGTGCTTGTTCACTCTCTGCGGAGGTGTCGCCCGGGACTCCTTTGTGCTGCGCCACCGGGACGGTCCCCACGGCTCAGTCGTGTGGTTCAGACGTGGGGCCCACGCGCCTTGCAGCGCCGTGTGCGGTAGGGAACGACGAGCCGCGCCTGGGGTCTAGCCCAGCGGTCCGGAGTTGTTGAACATGCGTGGGACGAGTGTCTGCACAGCCTTTCCAGAGCATGGTATTCCTGACGTGCAGGGAGGAGCACGCCGCAGAACAGAAAGCCTCACCTCCGAAGTATGCTTTTCTCCTATTCCTGTTTCTAACAGCACATGCAGTATGTAGCACTTCACATCTGAGGCATGAGATTGAACTAATTCCAGGTGGTGTTTCATACACAGAAGCTTCTAGAATAGTGCCTGGTGCCTAGGAGGCCCTCAGCTTCTGGCAGCAGCAGCAGCAGCAGCAGCACTAGTTGCTATTATGCAGATTATGTTTATTTTATTTATTTATTTAAATTTTTTTTTAAAGATTTTTTATTGGGGAATTGGGGAAGGGGAACATACAAGTTGCTGACCTTTTGTTCTTCAGTCTAGTTGTGGAGGACGTTGCTTCACTGGCCCAAGTTGGCACCATCATTGCGCTCTTCCCGGGCGAGGCAGATCAGTCCCCGGCTTCTGGACGGCCGCTCACTGCGGCTGCTGGCCGCTCACGCTGGCTGCTGGCTACACACGGTAGCCCATGGCAACCCACTGCCACAGGGGCTGCAGCCTACGCCGTCGCCGGCGACTCACGGCAGCCCAGCTCCAGGTTGAGCTGTTGTTCAGCATTTTAGCTGTGGAGGGCAGTGTCACTGGCCCTCATATGTGGGATCCGAACCGGGCCCTCTGGCGTCCCAAGCCAGTTCTTAACCATCGCGCCACTCGGCCGGCCCTGCAGATTATGTTTAGAAATGAACACGGAGGTTTTTATTTCAAAGGTTTCTCCCTCCTAGAGGCCCAGCATTTTGGACAGAACATAAGATGCGTGTCCTGTCCTGGAGCCCTTTCCCCAAATCTAAACCACAGGGTCACGACACGCATCGTCATGTCCTTTCCCTTGATCCTCACTTTTTAAAATGTACTGTTTAAATGCAAACTAATACGTATTTATTACAAATAATTTGGAAAATAGAGAACTGTTACCCAAAGCTCCACCACTTGTTAACATTTGATGTGTGTCCTTTCACTGCGTCTTCAGGCATTTAAAAAAAATCTGTGCCTTACATGGTTATAACCATTATAAGTAAATTAGTATCCTGCTTTTTTTTTTTGCATAGAACATCATGATATAAACATTTTCAGTATTACCACAAAGACTTCATCAGATTGCTTCTAAGGAATATTTATTTAACTGGACATGGCATGCGCTTCTGAACTTGTACACCGTGGTCTCAGTCAAACTGCGAGGAGCGCCTGTGTGCTAAAACTTGGTTTTGTGACGATTTCCTTAGGATATACCATATTTTGCTGTGTGTAATGCACACCCACATTTTTGGCCCAAATTTTCAGGGAAAAAAATCTTTCGTTTTAATCCAAATTTTTGTTTACATTTAGGTACTTGTTTTTTGTACTATAAAGACATTTTAGCATTTATTTTTTAATATATTATGGTACAAGAAATTGTATGTAACAAATAATTACAAAACACAAGAACAGATATAAGGGGGCCAGCCAAGTGGCTCAGTTGGTTAAGAGTGCAAGCTCTGAGCAACAGGGTCACCGGTTTGATTCCCACATGGGCCAGTGAGCTGCGCCCGAGCTGAGCTGCCACCAGGTGGCAGGATGGCTCAGCTGGTGAGAGCACATGCTCCTAACAACAAGGTTTCTGGCTTGACTCCCACATGGGATGGTGGCTACACCCACCCGCAACTAAGATTGAACATGGCATCTTGAGCTGAGTGGCCACAAGCTGCCCACGGGTGGCCAGATGGTGGCGACTGGACTTTGGGAGCTGAGCTAGCTGCGCCCTCCACAACTAAGATTGAAGGACAACAACTTGACTGTTCCCCTTCCCCAATTCCCCAACACTGTTCCCCTTTCCCAAAAATAAATAAATAAAATACCTATGCCTGAGCCACCTCTCCAAGCGCTGTTTCCTCTTTAAAAAAATAAAACAAAAACAGATATAAGGTACAAAGATATAAGGTACAAGAAATTTCATGTACCAGTAATAAATTTATGATATTTATGCATCATAGAAGGCCAAGAAGAATTCTTTGTAGTTGCAAGTTCATTGTAAGTTCAACAAAACCGATTATCATATTCCGGGGTATTATTTTGCATATGGATATTGTTTTTGATTTCTAGAGTTAACACTTTTAACTCACAAGCATAAATAAAAGAATCAAAAACATTTATATAGATACAGAATTAGCACTACCCGTGTATAATGCATATCCTTATTTTTCCTTCACAAATTTGGGCAAAAAATATACATTATACATGGCAAAATATGGTATGTCCAGGTGTGGAATTAGGTTAAAGAGTATGATAATTTAAAAGATTTCAGTGTGTCATTAAATTGCTTTCCCAGGGGGTTATCTGATTTCTCCCCTGTTTTCCCTAGCAGTGCTGTGTAGCATTTGCATCTGTTCCCTAAGAGGTGAAATATTTTCCCATGTTTTTCACTGATTGCATTTTCTTTTTTGAAAATGGTCTAGTTTACTTTTTACCTATTGGTAACTTAATGTTTACTTAGAAAGTCCTATGTGTTTCTGTATTAAAGATTTCTTAATCCTTTGTTACATTTTCTGCAAGTATTTTTCCAGCCTATCGTTTGCCTTTAATTTTGTTTTGACAGATTTTTTTCTCCCTGTGGTCTTCCTTTTCCTTTGTAATTTCTATTATTATTTTATCATTTAGAAATTGTGTAACTACAGCTGACCCTTGAACAACATAGGGGTTAAGGGCACTGATCCCCATGCAGTCAAAATCTGCATATAACTTTTTACTCCCTAAAAACTTAACTACTAATAGCCTACCGTTGACCCAGAGAAGCTTTACTTATTGATAACATAAACAGTCAATTAATACATATTTTGTATGTTATATGTAGTATATACTAAATTCTTACAAAGAAGTAAGCAAGAGAAAAGAAACTATTCTTAAGAAAATCATAAGGAAGCGGGTGACGGGTTAGCTCAGTTGGTTAGAGCGTGGTGCTGAAAACACCACGGTTGCCACTTCGATCCCGCATGGGCCACTGTGAGCTGCGCCCTCCTTAAAAGAGTCAACTGTGCCCTTGTAGCATGAAAGCACTGTGTAACCAATGACCATGGCTGTTCCCAAAAAAAGAAAGAAAAGAAAATCATAAGGAAGAAAATGTAAACACATTTATAGTGCTGTGTGTATTTCTTGAAAAAATTCGTGTGTAAGTGGACCTGCAGTTCAAACCTGTGTTGTTTAAGGGTCAGCTGTACTGTAAAACCTCATGACCACATGTCCAGCCAGAATAGAAATTCTGGTAGCATTCCGTTGGTCAGGTCCCATTCTCCTCCCTGACCAGACCAGCAGAGGGCTGCAGGCTACTGTCTTATCTTCTCTGTAAAGGGCGGGGTATGTGGGCAGGGAAAGGCCATTAGGGACGCATGTCGGGCGCTTGGGCAGCCTCGTCCAGGAAGTGGCAGGGCAGAGTGCTGTCCTCAAATCACTGGTGTTTTCCGGCATTTTCCTGGCCTGGTTAACTTCAGTCACTGCAACTGGCCTGGAAATCCCAGGATCAAGGGTCAGCCGGTGGTCACCTAAGCCAGAGTGCACACCTGCCTCCAGGTGGCGCCAAGCCGTAGTTGGGACTGCACAGAGCCAGTTAGCTGGCTGCCCCTGCCATGAACCTTGCAGTGAGACCCCGTGTCCTCTGCAGTTTAATCTTTGAGATCTTTCTGGTTGAGATTTGGCTGGTTTTACTGTGCTAACAAGAGCTGATGGTTATGTCGTGCTTTTGCTTCTAGGCTTTGTGTTGAGCAGCTCACAAGCCTTTCCTCATTCAATCTCAAACCTCAGGTTCGATCCCCATTCCATACAGACTGAGCCTCAGAGCCGTGAACTAGCTTGCCCGCAGTCACAAAGCTCGGAAGGGGCTGAACCTGCACGTTCTACTCTGCCTGTTTTATGAACAGTGAGCAGGCTGGACCATTTCAGTGCTGTTGAACCCTTTTTGGATCACAGACCTTTTCAAAAATCTGACGAAAGCTTTGGATCCCCTCCCCAGAAAATGTACAGAACTTGGCAGACAAGTTCATGGGTGTTCGAGGACTTACTGAAGCCTGGCTGTGAATCTGTCCCAGCTGATTTCTGGGGATCCTTCCCGTACCTGGCTTCCTGGGAAGGGGGCTGGGGTGCGTCCGGGAAGGCTGGAAGGGGCACGGCCGCCCCAGGTGGGCGTGCCCCCTCACCTCTGCTTCTCCCCCAGGATGGCCGTCGTCCCCATCGTCATCAGCCTGACGCTGACCACACTGCTGGGCAATGCCATTGCCTTCGCCACCGGAGTGCTGTACGGACTCTCCGCTCTGGGCAAAAAGTGCGTCTGCCAGGCCCGGCCCCGGGGAGGGGTCTTGACTTCCTGCCTCCTGAGTCTCTCAGTGCGGAAGGTCTGAGAGTGGCCCCTGTTATCCATTTGTGGCAACTGAGGCCACAGAGCTTGTCAGTGACTCGTCAGTATCTTTAGGGTGTTCAGCTCTAGGGAATGAGAGAATTCATGAGCCTTCCTGGTGGCCCAGTCGAGCCTCGCCACAGCCCAGAGCGGGGATGGCAGACATGGCTCTTGAGAGCCTCTCCCTACCCGGGGCCCACACCTGACACTGCAACACTTGCTACCCCGCTTCACAGAGCCCAGACTGAGGCTCTGACTCCTCAACCCAGCATCCTAGGCAGCCTGCGCCACTCTTAGAGGTGACAAGACATGTCTTTGCCATCATAGCAATAGGGTCTGTGTGGAAACCAGGAGGCCCAGGAGGCTGTGCCTGCAGGTCATGCCTAGGTCACTAGCCAGGAACCGGGTTGCGGCTGGGAGGGCTGTGCGCCTGGGTCTGTCCCTGGTGTGATGCTGGCTTGCTCTCTCTGCAGAGGCGATGCGATCTCCTACGCCAGGATCCAGCAGCAGAAGCAGCAGGCAGATGAGGAGAAGCTTGCAGAGACCCTGGAGGGGGAGCTGTGACACAGGTCCAGGTGACCCGCCCCACATCCTCGCCCCCCTGGTTCTGTGTGAGCATGGTCAGCAGGGACGGGGCCTGAGGCATTGACCTGAGGGACAGTCTGGAAGAGGAGCCTGTGCCTGGCCCCCAGCAGCTTCTCTCCACCTGGCCCCATACCTGGAGTCTTCCTGTCTGCCTCTCTCTCCAGACTGGCATCTCCTGGCCTGGGCGGGTGCTGAGGTGCTGGGGCGAGGGCTCTGAGGGCCTGGCCAGCAGCGAGGACATGGGCAGGACGAGCCTCGGGGGTGACCCGGGCCGTAGGACTTGAGGCGGAGCAGAGCCTGCAGCAGCTCTGCTCACGGCTCACCTCGCCCCGTAGCCCCCGACTGGCTCCGGGTGGATTTCCAGACTTCTACAGCGGGCAGAGCCATCAGGGACCCACTGAACGCCTGGGAGGAGCTTCCTGGAGACGCCGGTCCTGTCTCCAGGTGGGACATCGGCCAGAAGGAGCCTCCTCTCGTGTGTCCAGGCAGGAGAGTCTCCTACAGGCTGAGCCAACTGGGCTCTCCTGTCCACCTGCCATCAGGGCCGAGGGTGGGGCAGGGCAGTGTCCTGAGGGCTATCTGCTGCTGCCCATGGCCCCCCAGCCACTCTGTCCTCTGTGGGAGGCCACAGTGCTCCCAAGATGCTCCTTGAGTCCCAGACAGCTGGGTGGGAGCGCTCCCGCCACCAGTTCCCTGGAACCTGGGACAGTCCATTTCGGAATACTCCCCACGGGCCTGGCCTGGGCCCCCAGGTTCTTCCCGTTCCTCCCCTCCCCCCGGGCCCTGGTGCTAAAGAAGTGGGGAGCGCCTGCTCTCCAGGGGGGCCACTGCCTACCTCTCTAGTGTGATCCCGCCCCGGTGAGTGGTGGTCCCGAGCCTTAGTAGGGCTGAGCTTGACCACCTCCAGTATTCCCGCAGGCCCGCCCCCAGCCCTGCCCCCAGGGAGCTTCCTGCCTTTTGAGAGCTGAGCAGGGACTGCCCTGGGTGTCAGACCACCAGAGAGCAAGGCCTGGGGGCCGGGGCAGGGAGCGTGGCGAGCTGGTGCCCTGGAACATGACTCCTGGGACTTGCGCCCTCGTCCCCTCCAAGGCTCCCTCCATGCCCGTCCCTTGCTTCTGCCCCATGACCGCAGCCCGCTGGCCGCTCTGATTGCTGGGCTGGCCCTTAGCCGTTGGGCATGTCTGACAGGGCCTGGTGAGCCCGGCAGTGCCGGGCTGGTGTGGGAAATGCCGCGCCTGGGCCCAGCTCCCGCTCTTCCTCCGTCTGGGCCTGTTCACGCTCCCAGAGCTCAGGGTCCCCTCCTGCTATGTGGAAGGTCTTGGCTTCCCAGAGGGACCTTTCATCCCCATTTGAGGCTGGGAGCGGCAGGCACTGGCCAGGGACACATCAGCGGGCTTCTCATCTACAGCGCCCCCCAGCAGCCCTCCAGGGAGCCTGACCAGGCTGAGCTCCAGAGTGGCAGGGAACACTGTAGTGTGGCTGGCATGGTGGGACATGTGCCTTCAGGGGTCCTCTGGGACCACCTTCCTCAGGCCAGTGCTGGGTTCAAAGGGCAGTGGGCTCCAGGCCTCTCCAGGCTGGTGGGGGTGCGTGTGCGTGTGCGTGTGCGTGTGCGTCTTCTCCCAAGTGTGCCGTGAATCAAGACCTGTCTACCTCCCAGGAGGAGCGAGGGCCCTACCACCCCCCTGGGCCCATTCTTATCCAGGAAGGGGGAGTCGGGTCACTTCTGCCCAGCCCTCCTGCCCCTGCCACGGGGGCCTCGCTGACGGGGGTGCCCTTGCTGCAGGAGGAGGGGTTTGCTGTGTGTGTCAAGGACGGTTGCACTTCTCCCGGTGAGGAAACAGTGGGTGCTGGGCGGGCCGTAGAGTTGGACGCAGAGGTGGAAGGGCCCTCCAGCCCCTGTCACAGGCCAGAGGGGTCAGGTCACTTGCCCGAGGCTCTCAGTGAGTCTGGCAGGAGCGGCCTTGGAGCTGGTGACTCTGTCTCCTAGTGGGAGCCCCACCTTGCAAGAAACATCTGTCCAGGTGGCTGAGGAGGCCAGGCCTGCTGGGCCACCAGGGCCCTCCTGCCTCCGTGTTTCTGGACTGTTTCTTGTGGTCCTTGTTTACTCTTGGTGTTTAGCTTGAACGATGAGCAATAAAGCCTGGCGGCCGTTTGTATGCTCGCCCACACGCTCTGCCTGGGACCTTCTCTCTGGCGCCATAAGGGGCGGGACGCCCCCAACCCCACACTGCGGAGCAGGGGCGTGGCCTTGGGGATGACTGCCACTTGACTGAGTGCCAGCAGTGCTGCTAGCTCTGCTCACACTGCCAGCCTTGCCCAAGGCCCCACAGCTGGAAGGAGCTGGGGCTTGGGCAGGTTCAGTCCGCAGCCGGGCTCCCCGCACCGGCTGCCCCACTCCTTTCTACCTCACAGTGGACAGGCGAGTGGCAATACAGGGGCACCGCCTGGGGCAGCAGGTGTTGGCAACTCTGGCGGCGAGTCTGGGCCCAGCCTGGCTGCTGGGATCTCCCCACCCGAGTTCCTTCCTCTCCAGGGCTGCAGTCCAGTTTCTTTATTTTTATAAATAGGGTGAACACAGTTTGCAGACAGGAGCCTTGAGAGACCGCTTCCCAGAGATCAGGCTGGTGCAGGCTGTGCTGGGTCCTGTGTGCCGGCCCGTGGGAGTCTGGGATGTTCCCTGTGGCACCGCAGGCCCTCAGAGGCACCCCTTGTCTTTCTCCCTGTAGCCAGGACACTCGATGGCAGCCAAGCCAGCAGAAAAGGGTGACATGGCGCTGTTCCTGTGGGGAGCCACTCGCGGCCTCCAGCCCTGTGCCCTCATCATAGCCCTCCGGGGAGCGGGGGGCGACCTCCATGCACGAGGAACTAGACCCGAGGTCGCCCAGCAGGGTCTGTCCCCAGATCCTGAGTCACGTGCTCCCCTTTGGCCCAAGGCTGCCTTCTCTGCCACGGGTCTTGTCTTGGCTAGTGTGTGTCCAGCACCACTGGGGCCGGGGCTGGACAGCGGTGCTGCCTGTCCAGTGCCAGAAAGCGCGCTCTGGGGGGCCTGTCATGCTTCTGGCCTGTCCTCCTGTGCATGTCTGACAGCAGGTTGCTGCTGCCCCCTGGACTCGGGGTGCAGGTTAGTGGCCCACACAGAGGCCTGGCCGCCCATGGTTTGGCCCCTCCCAGGCGGGGACCCTGACCTAGTGCAGGAAGGACCTCCTCCCNGCCCAGCAGGGTCTGTCCCCAGATCCTGAGTCACGTGCTCCCCTTTGGCCCAAGGCTGCCTTCTCTGCCACGGGTCTTGTCTTGGCTAGTGTGTGTCCAGCACCACTGGGGCCGGGGCTGGACAGCGGTGCTGCCTGTCCAGTGCCAGAAAGCGCGCTCTGGGGGGCCTGTCATGCTTCTGGCCTGTCCTCCTGTGCATGTCTGACAGCAGGTTGCTGCTGCCCCCTGGACTCGGGGTGCAGGTTAGTGGCCCACACAGAGGCCTGGCCGCCCATGGTTTGGCCCCTCCCAGGCGGGGACCCTGACCTAGTGCAGGAAGGACCTCCTCCCAGTGCGGAAGAAGGACTCAATCTGCTCCAGTGTCCGGCCCTTGGTCTCAGGCACGCAGCAGCCGGTGAACACCAGGTTCACCAAGCAGATGGCAGCAAAGAAGAAGAAAGGCACCTGGAGGCCGAAGGCATTCTGGGGGCGGGAAGGGTGCCGGGTCACACGGGAAAACCACGGGTCCTCCCGCCCCAGCACGAGCTGCGTGCACCCTGCTGGCCTTAGTCAGTCTTGAGGGCCTCCGCCTGTTCAGAGACCTCCTGGGGCTCCCCGCTGCCTCCAGCACAAAACCCAAGGGCCTCCGCATGGCACTCGAGGCCCTGGCAGTCTGCAGCCAGCCCTCTGGTGGGAGCCCTAGGACTTCCCTCCTGCCCGAGGCCTGGGCCCTCCAGCCTCAGTTCAGGTCCCCACCTCTCCCCCTTGCCCCAGTGTCCATCTTTTCCATTGCAGCTGTCCCCCTGCCTGCAGGAAGGCTGCCACCAGCGTCGGGCTGGGAGCAGCTCCCGCTCTTCTGGGCCACCTGCCCATCTGTGTCTCGGGTCGGGCTCTGCACGCCCCCCTCCGCCCAGCTGACTTACCCATTCTGGGGTCTCCCAGCCCTGCCTGGCCCTAGACTGCACCTGGGTGGGCACCGGCCAGAGCTGCCCCATCAGATCCTCCCTCCCAGGAGCTGGGACTCAGAGGTTCTAGCTGGCGTCAGGGCCTGCTGGGTTAAGTCGGGGTGGGGGTGGGGGTGTGTGTGGTGTGTGTGTGTGTGTGTGTGTGTGTGTGTGTGTGACACCACATATGGGCTGGCCAGCAGGACATGCTGCTGAGACCCAAATTGCCCGCCCAGATAGAAGTCCCAGCTGCCTGGGAGGGTGACAGACAGCGCTGACATGGGTGTGGCCCCTTGGCCTAGGAAGTCAGCTGATTTCTCAGAACAGTTCCCCAACTTGTCTCTCTACTGTATGAAGGGGTCTTTGTGGAGTTGGCCTCTGTGTAAAGGAGGCGAATGCTAATCTGTCAGAGGACCACTGCGAGGCTGAGAGGACATGGTGGAGAAGCCCTCAGCACAGCCCCTAGTGGCTGCCGCGGAGGGCCCCGGGGTCCCCAGCACTCACCACGACCAGCAGAAAGGACTTGGTTAGGGCGAAGGCGGTGAGCCAGCTGACCAGCACGCAGAGCCCCGAGGCCACACCACGGGCACGCAGGGGCAGGATCTCAGACATGAGGAGCCAGGTGATGGGCCCCCAGCCCATGGCGTAGCCTGCCCAGAAAGGAAGGGGCAGGCTCGGGTCCTGCTCGCGGGCTGGGCAGCCTCTTTTGCCTCCCTTGAGCTGCTGAAACCCCTCCCCAACCATCCCAGACAACCCAGGGTATCAGTGCCCCACCTGCGACACAGCCAAGCCCCCCCCACTCACCCACATGGCAGCCCCTCCCTCCCTGGCCAGGAGCACTCCCAGAAGCCCCATCCCGTGGAGCTGCTGCCATACCTACCCATGATGAAGAGCATGGTGGCCAGCAGGGGCACCAGGGTGAGGTAGTTGGTAGATGTGACCAGGGGCTGCTCTGTACCTCCCCAGGGCACACTCTCAAGGCCCATGGTGCTGTTGGGGGTCAGAGGCTTTGGACCGAAGTGGACATATAGCCCCAGCGTCAGGTTGGCAGCAAACATAATGGTTGCTGTGGACAGACAGGTGGCCCTCGGGGGGCCAGGACCCTTTGAGCTGCATATTCCTCACAAGTGTTCTGTACCCCATGCGGCCCAGTTGTCATCCAGGCCGCCATCATGGCCCATCTGGGACCGACACTGTCTATAGAGCAGCAGGCTCTTGCTCCAGCCGCGTTCGGGCTCCCGTCACACCCACTGTGGAGTGTCTGTTGGCTTGTTCACTCACACAAGCCCCAGCTGACCTTTCTGGAACAGCTGGTGCATGCCAGGCCCTGGGGAGGCAGGGGCCCACGGGACAGGTCTGACCCAGGCCCCCTGGAGCTCCCAGCTACACGGCACCAGCCTCAAGGGGCACAACACGCAGCAGCTGCTAGAGGAGTGAGGCCTGACTGTGTGCAAGAGACGTGGAGCTCACCTGAGACAAACAGCAGCACCTTGCGGCCGGCCAGGTCCATGGTGACAGCAGCAATCAGCACTGACAAGAGCCTCACGGCCCCCACGATGGCAGCATCATCCTCGGGGGGCTGCGGGGAGGAAGTCACCGGGGCTGAGGGACACTGGCCTGCCGCTCCCGTCCCACCTGTCCCCGCAAGGTGCTGCAGGGTGCTCAGGCCCCAGGCCATGGCCACAGCTCCTTGGAGCACTGAGCTGCTGAGCACCTACTATGTGCCAGGAACTTTCTCTGGGGCCTAACCTAGGGGCCTTTTGGGCAGGGGCACAACTGCAGTGCCCACCCCTGAGCCCAGGGCCAGTACAGAATATAGGCGTGCTAATGACTGGTGGAGCTCGCTGTCACTGATCTTCAAATCTCATCTCCCTGAGCCCAGGACAGCCCAACGAAGCCATGCATCTATTATCTCCATTCTGCAGAGGAGGAAGCTGAGGTTTGGAGGGGAAGTGACTTCCCTCAGCGAGTGGCAGCTGCTCTGACCCTGGGGTCCATGGCCCCCACGGGGTCTGCAAGTCTATAAGACTGGTTTTCTTTGTAATCCTGTACATTTAATTTGAAAACATGTAAGCTTTACTTGCAAACGTTACTGTGAGAACAGGCGCATGGCACAGGAACAGGGATGCACCCCTGGCAGTCTCTGCCTCCACATATACCCGATACCTTGAGCCGGGGTGTGGGGGCCGGGCTCTCACCAGCAGGACCGCCGTGCTATTGAAGATGGGCTGCAGGTACACCAGGATGGGCGTGATGCCCGTCAGTTGCTGTAGGAAGCGCATCAGCAGGGCGATGGTGATGGGTCGGTATATGTGGGGGTCCCGGGCCTCGGCCCACGACATGCGGCTGCTCTGGAGACACGAGGACACCGCTGAGGGGGCTGGGCCAGCCCCTCCAGCAGGTGCCACCCTGCTGTGGACTTCGTGGGATTGGGCAGAGACTCCGTTCTTCCCTCCTTCGGGAAACAACCCAGGCGAGGGGACAGGCCTGGGGGACCCCTGCCTGAACCCCAGGCTCCTGGATCAGTGGGTGGACCAAGCAGACTCCTGCTTGTCAGTATCTCTGGGTCCTCCGGCATCCAGGGCACCGAGCATGTGCTCGGGGGTCAGATGCCATGATGTCTGGAGGTAGGAGCTACTGGCATCCCATTTTCCAGGGAAAGCAAATGAGGCTCAGAAAGGCCTGGTGACTGGCCATGGCCACACACAGCTGTGGGCACCAGAGGCTTGTGAGCCGGCTGGGCACCCACACCTCCCGCACCTGTCTCTGGACGTTATCCTGGATCTGCTGGAACTCCCAGCGGATGTCAGCGTTGGCCCCGCGCAGCCAGGCCAGCGCCTGCAACGCCTCCACGTCCCTGCCCCTCGAGAGTAGGAAGCGCGGCGAGTTGGGCATAAAGGTGAGCAGCAGGATCATGGCGACCACAGGTCCCTCCCCGGCCACAGCCAGCCAGCGCCACGGCAGCAGGAGGCCTGAAACGCAGAGGGGGTGAGGAGCTGGGGTCCAGACTGGACACGGAGATCCCTCCCACTGGGGTCCCTGAGCAACTTCATCTGTCCCCAAGGGCTAGTCCCAGAGCCACCTCCTATGGGCAGTCTACCCTGACTGCTCCAGGCCTCTGTGATCTAGACCAGGAGGGGCTACAGGCATTGCCTGGCCCCCGGAGCAGGCAAGACCCTGGGCTTCCACCACCAACCAGCTATGCTCTGGTCTCTTTTCTATGTGGAATTCCCACCTAAGATTATTCGATAGAAGCATTGTGCTGTCAAAAGACCGTTTGAAGACTGCTGGCCCAGGAGAAGCCCTCATGGCCCAGGTAGGGTAGGGCCTCGTGACCAAATTGGAGCAGGGCATTGCTTGGAGGTACACAGCACGGTGGTGGTTGAGTGCAGCTAGGAAGTCACGTCTCTTGCCCCCCAGCCCAGGGTTCATTTGGGGGAGCACAATCCTTCCCTTCCCAGCACGACCGCTCAGCAGCACCCTGTCGCGCCCAGCCTGCACACAGGAAGTGATTGTGTAAACACTGGTCTTACCAAGGGCATAGAGAGACAGTGATCCAAACACTGCCATGAGCTGCGGCGTGGCCCCCAAGGCCCCACGGACGCCTGGCGGGGCAATCTCAGACACGTACACCTGCAAGACATGTCGCCCCATCCCAGGCCTCTGGTGAGAATGCAGGGGCCTGGGCAAGATGGCAGGGGTGGCCCGGTGACCCTTGAGAAGTGGGGGCTTCTGGTGGGGTTCTTGTCCTGATCATGACTCACCTCATGACCTCCCTTGGGCCTCAGTTTCCCTAACTGTAAAGTGGGCAGAAGCACTCAGCTCTGAAATGGGAACTGGGAGGCCCAAGGACACCCAGACTGTGGTCTCTGCTCCTCCCAGCTGTCTTCACGCCCTGTTGGGCTCGCCTCAGCCCGTGACCGGGTATGTGGGCAGTGGTGGGTAAGGGGCAGGGCTGGGACTTCCCTTTCCTTCCTGTTGCTCAATGGAGATTTTCTCCAATTGTGCAATGTGTCTGACAGTCAGGAAATGGGGTAGGAAGCTTGGGGAGTCCAGAGTGGGGGACAGCTGGGGACATGGGAACAGACTTCCCTGATATTAGCCGCTCTGGTGGGGGTGAGCTGAATCTCCCGGGCAAACGTATCCCCATTGACTTGGAGGCCAGAAGGCCTTTGCTAATGGTGGTCAGCACACAGCTGAGGCTGTGAGGGGCCCTGGGGTGGGCAGTCCTGGCCTTACCGGTATGCAGGCAGCTGTGAGCCCCCCAGCGAAGCCTGTCAGCGTCCTCCCCAGCAGCAGCATCCACAGGCCACGAGCACCCGCCATGAGTGCGTAGCCGGCCACCGAGGGCACAGCCGAGAACATGATGCTGAGTTTCCGGCCCAGGAGGTCGCTGAGGACCATGGCACTGAGGCCTCCCGCCGCTGCACCCAGGGTGAACACGGACTGTAGAAAAGGTACAGGGCAGACGTGTCTGGGCACCCAGCATCCCCCACCCCTATCAGATCCTAGAGGCAGCTGCTTTTCCAGGCTGGCCCAGGGACTCAGGCCTCAAATGGTAGTGAGCCTCCCATCTCCAGAGGTGTACAAGCAGCACGTGGACAAACATTTGTTAGGGGCGCCATGACAGGGAGTCCTGCTCTGGGGAGGAGGTGGGGCCACGTGTGCACAGAGCTTCTCTCCAGCCTGACATTTAAATATCTAATGTTGTAATATAGCAGACAGGATTCTGTGATTTGAAGCCCCTGGGATTTTAAGATGTGGGGGTTCCTGGATTCCCAGTACGGTGTCATGAGCAGGACGCAGTCAGTGACTTGGGCACGGGGCTTAGCCTGCCTGAGCCTCAGTTTCTCCAGCTGTATTATGGGGAGAGTGGCGGCACCCACCTCCTAGGGTTGGCCCTGGAGTCAGTCAGCTCTCATGCAAAGTGCCCAGCACACACCTGGCACATACCAAGTGCTCAGTGCTCAGTGCTCAGTGGAAACTATTATCTTGGCTAATATGTTGTCATTGTAAATTGAGGCTACTAAGATTGTAGTTCTAGAATCTTGGGGCTCTCAAGGCCTGTGCTTTTTTCCCCCGCATGTCTGTCCTGGATCCTCCTTTCTCCAGCCAGTGCCTCTTTCCATGGGCACCTGATGCCCCAGGCCCCCATCATCCAAGGAGATGTCTTCTCTGCTCCGGATATGGGGAACCCTCAACCCCACCTCCCCACCTGCCCCTTCCCATCGGCTCTCACTTCCTTTATTTCAGAGCCATTATATGGCCTCACACTGCTCCTCCACCCCCAGCCTGGAGTGTGTGGGAGGGGCAGAACAGGGCCCAGGAGGAGCCCCAAGGCTGAGCTTTTGGGGGGCATCCCTAGCTGAGCACAGAGCTCAATGGGTCCCTCTTCCCCCGCCCTGCCCCTCCCAGCTTAGAGCATGGCCCTTACCCCGAACCAGGATGCCTGGGTTTTGGTCAGACTCAGGTTTGGATCCAAGGAGTGCTCCAGGGC